TGCTCCAAGCAAACGCTGCTGGCCACCAACCTGGGTCTGCTGTTCAACGCCCGCCAACGCTACGAGGTATGTGTGCGAGCGGGCGCGCATCGGTTTCCAAAACTATCAAGCTCCCATTTGAATCGGCCATCAGCGCCCTGACCTTGACCCCTGACGGTTATTGTGCACGCACGATGCTTTGGCTTTATGCTCCTCATGTCCACAGGCGCTGTACCAGGAGTTTCACCACGGTGAAGTGACCGTGGCTGATGCGGCACATCGAGTAGGCTTTCGGTTACCTCATGAAGTCGCGCCGACTAGTACAAAGGACTCGGCTTCCAAGGCCTAGGTTTTTTTCCCTCGAGAGCAGATGAAAAGGCGAAAACGCGCACTGTAATTGGCTTTAGTTGTTGGGCAAGTGTCTGTCTCATCTCTCCGTCCAGCTTGAAACAATCACCGGACCTCCTGCGGATCCTTGCTGATTTATACAATGCTCGTTGAATGGGAGGCCCACGGCCCTTGTTGGTCGTCGATGGCAGCGCCATGGTCATTCCAATTTACAAGTCCTTTTGCCATGATTGCAGCCAGAGCTTTTGCGTCAATGCTCACAACAACACCCGATATCCAAAACACCCGATATTCATAACAACGCCAGCAGCAGCAACAACAACAACAACATCTCCTCTCGATGCCTTACTCATCGATGGGCACGAATTTCCCAATCAGACCACGCAGCTCCTCAAATTACATAGCACAATGCCGACTCCTAACGTTCCTCCATGGACAACGTCTCCGAGTACTTCAGTACCTGTCACAAGCAAGAGCAAGCCCATCACCACGCGCACGAGCATGAAGGTCATGCATAGTGGTAACACGTCATCACAGCAACAAACAAGGCAAGACACTTTGAATGGACTTGCAAATAAAATAAAACAAAACATGTTCCAGACCCTCAAAACACAACCATCACAACAACAGCAGCAGCAGCAGCAACAACAACAATAACCGCTTGGCACTGATGGCCAATGGACGTACCCGGTGTCGGCTGCCTCCCATGCCACGCTTTTCCAGCTGGCGGATTCGTTTGAGCTCGTGCTCGTGGAGCCGAATTTCTTCCGGTGAGGCTCCGAGCGCGCGTAGACGGTTGAGCAGGGCAAAGTCCGGATCCGACTCTGAAAGTTGACGCGAGGCGTGGCGACTCAAATGCGACTCGCGTGTTGTGGATGATGAGTGCTGAGTTGTCAAAGGTTTGGTTGCGCTCGTGCTCAGCTGACTCAAGGGTGTGGCCGTACGCGACCCATAGCGCAGCGGCAGTACCGCACCAGGGCTGGGTGAACGGCTGCGATAATCGTGGGCTAGCGGTGATCGCTCGCGACGGCCTCCACCTGGTCGCGTTAGGGACCCCAGCGTGCGACCGCGCTCCATCTCGCTGACCGAGGCCCGCCGGGAACCATGGGAGGCGGGTTCTCCGTACGAAACGCGCCGACGGTCGGATGCGACCGGTGAGCCGGGGGGCGAGGCCTGAGTCGGCCGGATGCTTGGGGAGGACTGATTTTGTTTGATACTGTAGCCATATTTCAGGGCTGAACGACCCACGTCGGCGCCACGTTCAGGTGAAGTCTCCTCGCCAAAGCCCGAATCATGGGGATTGATGAGTGTGGATCGCTCCCGGACTTCAAATCCCGAATCTTCCAGCATGTGCTCGCTCGAGATCGACTCGTAAGGGACTCGATGAGCCCGCGGCAGGGTGTCCTTGTCAATGTCTGCCTGGTGGTGGCTGACGGATGAGGAGGGCTCATGTCGTGTGACGATGCGTCCAGTGTCGCCAGTGGCTCCCTCGTCCTCATGGGCCTCGTCCACAGGGAGGCGAACTTGCCGCTTTTGGCTGGGTCGCACCCGAGCAAAAGGACTTTCCTCTTCAACATCCATACCCACACTAGATCGTGCACCGCGAGCATACGAGGCGCGGCTAGAGCTAGAGTGACGGCTTGGTGCTGCAGACGGGACACTTGCTTCGGGGTCGGGCTTTTCATGGGAAGCAGAAGCACGTGTAGGGGTAGCCGAGGTCTGCAATGGAGAGGGATCGGTCTCGCTCTCCTCCTCAAGGTGGTCTGAGAAATGAAAGTGAACGCTGCGGGTGCGGGGCCGAGATCCGAGCTCGGGCTCGGGCTCGGGTGGGGGTGCATCTGCTCGCTCCAAGCGTGGCGTCCCGGTAGCCAGATGAGGGTCAGACGCTTGGTCCGCAATCACGCGAGGCTCGCGCCGGCGCTGGGGCGGTGCGCCATTGAGCGAGGCGGCGAAGATTGAGCGATCGGAGGATGGGTTGGCAGTTGTGCCGCCTCGAGCCACACTGCGCGCCGGCTTTGTGTCCGCCTCTGTTTGTGCCTGGGCTGGTTGTTCGGGGATCGTCGTTGAAGTGTTGCTTTGTGAGTTTGCGGGAAGCGTCAGTTCCTCCACTTGTGCCCGGCGTCGGCGCGTGTCCTCTCGAGGTGGAGGTGCAGCGGCCTTCTCTCGGTCCAAAGTGTGGGAGACATCTGGGCGAGGCTTGTGTTGTGTGCCCTTGGCTGCCGCAGCCATCAGAGCATCCAGTGACACGAGCTTGGCGCCGCCGAGGTTCTTGACAGCAAGTCGGAGTAGCTCTGGCTCAAACGTAACCGACGGCACGTCCTACACCCCACAACGAGACAAGAAGGAAAAAGAGAGGTGCGATGAGTATCAGCAGATGCCAGATTTTTGCACGCCTACCAAAGACAGCAACTCGCCCATACCACTTGATTGGTCGCCTGGCGCATGTTGCTGGTGGCAGCAGACAAAGTAGCAAGAAGGCAAGTAAGAAATGAAGCCAACCCCTTTTCCTCTGGGACAAGGGGTGTCGGCGTGTCGGCGTGTCTGCTGGCTGGGTACAATCTTTTCCAGGCGCACAAGTGCACCTCGGATCCGACCGGCTGGTTGTCGAGCTGATTCCGGATTAGCAAATGGCGCATGAAAGTGGTCGTGCGCATGCACGCGCAAGACGTCGGTCACCAACTGTCACGGTTTCCAGTCGACTGGTCGTCCCATTCGCGTCTCCATTGTGCGCGTCAAACGCGCCTCCGATGCTTGCATGCACACACAGAAGCGAGCTTGACCATTTGTCAGACGAACCCCTTAAATTATCTGACATTTACTGTTCGATCGATCGATTGATACTCTTGTCGTTGGAATCGAAGGTTTTGGGAGAAGTGGCAGGCCTGCCATGCTGATGACCGCAACAAGGCCATGAGTTTGTTCAAGGAGGATGCCTTTGTGCGGCGTTTGAAGAGCTTGACCACATCCCAGGAAAGCATCGAAACTCTCTCGCTTTGGATGCAAAATTTTCGTGGGCAAGCCTTCTCCGTGGTCGCCCTCTGGCTCGACACCCTCAAGCAAGGTCAGTCCGTGCACCAGTTCTGCGCTTTGCACTGCGGTGGCAATCTGGCATTTGTGCAAACGCATTTCTGATTTGATGCTCTTTCTTTTCAATTGCATGTGTAACGTTGGGGGTTTTGCGTGCTGCGATAGATCAGGGCAGCCGCCTGAAGTACATGTACCTGGCCAATGACGTCCTGCTCAACTCGAAGCGGCGAGGCAACGAATACCAGGCTGCTTTCCGGCCCATATTGGCAGAGGCGCTGGAGCTAGCGGCTACAGCCGCTCAAGCCGATTCCAAGGTTCACCAGCGGCTGCAGCGTTTGGTGGGCATTTGGCAACAACGAGGTGTCTACTCTTTAGAGGAGCTAGAGGCGATGCGCTCCGCCCTTCGCAAGGCCTCCTTTCTGACTGTGGGCACCACGGGTGTGGGTGGCGCCTCTGTACCCGTGGACGCTGCCCTCCTCGATGAGGCTATTGATGTACGTGCGAGGACCGGCCGCTGGCAATGTGCCTGATCAGTTTATTTGTGCTGTCTGTTATCGCTGCTTGAGTGGTCGCAAGAAGCAGTGGGAATGTTCGGAAGACTTCACGATCGGTCGCCCGTGCACCAGGCTCAAGTCCTCATGCGATTCCCGGCATTCGCATCCTTGCTTTTACGGCCACTAGAAACCTGAGCTCATTAGTCGTGTGGAACAGCTTGAGCGGTCCATGGGGGCCACGCGTACCCTCTATGACTCTGTGCGCGCACTTCCCCGCGAGCTTTTTCGCGTCAGTTATGTAGCAGATATGGAGGGTACGGTGACGAATACGTGTTCCAACGGTTCAGAGAAGGGGCATATGAGCATTGTCGTCATTGGCTTGCTCGTGCATATCCCGCGCCTCTTGTGCTCTATCCTGCTTGCTGCGTGTCGCCGTCTCAGGCTTACGACCCCGTGCCTTGCCACGTACCTCATTCCTATGCAGACCTCGATGCGCTCGAGAAACAGAGCGCAGCCGTGCAACAGGCCATGGAGGCCATCCAGCGATTGCGAGACGGCGTCAAGAAACAGCTTGACTCGCACCACAAAGTCCAGACCAGCCTCTCCGTGCTGATGAAGCAAGAGCAGCGAGAGGCTGCCAACATTCATGAGCGGCTCGAGGTACTTGCCGGTGCTGTTTGATCCCACCACCTTGAATATGCCTCTTGGTTTGATCTTCACCTCAATCAACCTCTGACACAACCTTTCCCAATGCTTCTGCCGCTCAGCATTGTCGCAACCAACTCGAGACCTTGGCAGCCTTACGGCGGGACTTGAAGGTGCACCTTGAAAACTTGCCAGACGATCAAGTTCTTCCCACCGGGCCAACGAGTGCAACCACGTCACCCTATTCCTCCAACCGAAAGCAGCCCAATGACCAGTTCCATGGGGCCAATGACGGCCCTCCTACCAGGAGCGTCAGCACCGAGGAGGCGGCTCTATTGGACCTGCCCTCTTCCGCTGGGCCAACCGTGGCCCCCTCGATTCAGGATATCTTTGGGGACGACGATGATGAGGAAGAAGATGAAAGGTTTGCTGTTGACCATCACAAGGGCAGTGATAGTGCCGGTGAGCACCATGGCCTGCCATCACCCAAGCGAGCTCATCGCTGACCAGCCACACCAACAACAAGAACACCAACAATAGGAACAGTCAACAGCAAATTTTTTTACCCCCCTTGCACTTTTATCACATAATCTGACAATTAATTCTGACATAGTTACTTTCTTGCTTTCAAGCGACACAAGTTAAGAGAATTGAACCCCATCTGCCTTTTTTTTCCTACCACCGGTACGAGACAAGGAGCTGCCTTGCTGCTCAGCGCGCTCAGTCGAGCTCAGCCTGAGCTCAGGTCGAGCCTCAGGTGCCCTTGGCCCCTCTAGTCTCGCGGCGGCGCGGTTGACCTCTTGATGGGCATTGATTTCGAAGCGAATTAGCATCACACAGCGCGTAGCTTTGGCACCGCCGTTCTTTTACGCACGACTGGTCTCATTGCTTGATCTGCTTTCTTCCGTTGCTGGCCCCTCGCTCGGTCATTGCACGATCGACCAAATCTTTGATAGGCACCATGAGTCAACCCGAGGGCAAGAAGCGCACCTTCCGCAAGTACTCGTACCGAGGCATCGACCTCGACAAGCTGCTCGACCTCTCCGAGGAGCAGGTAGGATTGTTTCCTGGCAGAGCATGTCGCGAGCACAACATCAAATGTTAAACAGCTAGTCTGCGACTGCGTGGCTCGCACATGCCCACACACGAGACACGACCCAGTCCAGCTGAAGCGAGACTGCAGGGGTGGCGAAGAAGGAATGGATGTACAGACTTGTCTTCCACCAGGGCCCTATGTTCGCAGCATGATGGTTCAGGGGTCGACACATGTTCTTGTATCGCTATATACCTCTGAAGATACCCATGTGGGAGGGAGCATGCTGTGTTTTTTGGGGAACACTCGGTCTTTGGTGGTCCATGGATCGCGCTCTAGTCCTGGATGCTGATGTTGAACCTTTGTCTCGTGGCTGGTCTTTGAATCGCCTAGTTTGCGGAGATGGTCACTTGCCGCGTGCGCCGCAAATTCAAGCGCGGTCTCAAGCGCCAGCACACCGCTCTTCTCAAGAAGCTGCGTGCCGCCAAGAAGAAAGCCGGCCCTGCTGTAGGTCCATGCTGCTCAGATGAACAAGGCTAGCTGTGGGCACCTGTGCCATGCCTCGATTGATAAATGTCATGCCCTGTTCCGTTTTCTTAGGAGAAGCCCGATGTTGTCAAGACCCACCTTCGCAACATGGTCATTGTCCCCGAGATGATCGGCTCCATGGTTGGTGTGTACAACGGCAAGACCTTCAACCAAGTTGAGATCAAGGTGTGTTGGCTGGCGTTGAGCATGGATGCCATCTGCTCAGTATTGGGGTCCACCCCCGTTTTTTTTTTCCAACTCACCCGTTTGGTCATTTAAAACGCAGGCTGAGATGACTGGCCACTACCTGGGTGAGTTCTCCATCACTTACAAGCCCGTCAAGCACGGTCGCCCCGGTATTGGTGCCACCAACTCCTCGCGCTTCATTCCCCTGAAGTAAATAAATCGAGGTGTTGATATTCTGCTTTTTACCTGTTTCGAAAACGGCAACATACATCATGTTGTTTTTGCCAGCCAAGAGCCTTGTCTTTGCGAGCCTGATGAAAGTCGACAGGGACAGTGTACAGATCGAATATGTATGTCACGGGCACGCTCATGAAGATAGGTATCAAGAGACATGTGACGTTAGGACCAGCAGGTTCACGGGAGACTGGCTCTGTCCTGTGTGATCATGCGTGTAACGATATTATCATGAATTGCTCGTTCGTGTTGAAACACATTCGCACACGCGCGCGCGCCAATGGCTTCAATCGTCATCATGGCGCTAGCACATCCCCCTTTCAGGCCACCCCACCCGACAGTAGGCAGCAATCAGGCAGGTAGCTGCAAGACGTTGAAAAGCCTTCTGCACCTGCAAAATAAGTGCGACACTTGTGACGTTGGCTCGGGTCGGTCGGAGCGAGCTGTGAGTTTGAAGCCATGTCATATCTGAATACATTTTTAATCTTCCGGATGCATGAGAGTAATCTCCTTCTTGGGGTTGACCGGGTTGTGGAAGAGTTGTTGCCGTTGATAGGGCGTGTCAGGGTCACAGCTGGCAGGGACAAATGCACCACATCCATCAGGCGCACATGCAATCAGATTGCAACCACAAGGGCGGCAAAGGAGAGGCAGCAGTTAACAAGTGGGCCATTGAAAGATTGACAGACTCACTTGGCAGTACATGTGTAAAGAGCCAAAACACCAAAGTCTAGTTCACCGAGCTCAGCACCCTCGTCCTGCACAATGGAAGACGATTTAACAGCATCCCTCGTGAGTGGCAACGGTGGATTCAGCGCGAAACGGTAAAACGCGACAGCAAAAGGGAGAAGAAACGCGAGGCAAAGGCCCTCCCGCCACCACGACAGGGTGGCCCGTGCAGCACCTGAAGATAAGCGAGGAGCTGAGGCGTGACTTGAAGCTCAAAACGTGTAGGGCCTCCACAATGACGACAACGATCAACCTCGCCCTTGACGGGTTGGCGCCGACCAATCCAAAGCGGGCTCTCCTCCACGCCCTCCTATTGGAAAAACAAAAACGACCACAACAGAATCCATTCAACCGACCGAAGGCGATGGGGTTTTGGACAGCAAGCTGTGACAAGTCGAGGAAAACATGGCTCGTACCTCATGCAGGCGTACGACCTGACCAGGCTCAATCTTTGTACGCCGCTTGAAGGCGTTCATATCCGAGTCCTATCATGTGAATAGGGGTGCAAGTGAATGCCTGTGCATGGCGTGGCCGGAGACCAGGCCGACACCCCCCCAAGCTCCACACACACACACACACACACGCACACACACACACACACACACACACACACACACACACACACACACACACACACACACACACACACACACACACACACACACACACACACACACACACACACACACACACACACACACACACAGAAGCACGTGCACACTTTCACTCCCACGCTCGCACACCTTGTTTAGATCGCGCTCAATGTCGTTGATGGAGGCATCTGGTGTTGTGTCCACGCCGAGCTCTTCTGCAGCTGCTTCAAACCGTTCCATGCGATCCTGAACATGTCCCATATCATGAGAAGATCAAAATCTTGCAGTTCTCCCGCCTTGACCCCAGCTCTGGGATTCCAAAGAGCCCACTCGGTGGCTAGAGAAAGGCATCGCAAGGTGCACGGCTGGCGCACTGATCAGGGGAGCAGACAACTATGAGGATGGCGGTGCAACATACGTCCTGTGAAGCTTCAATCGCAGAAGGAAGCTCTTCCTCATCCAAAATGAGCTCAAGCTCTGGCAGGCACCAGGGACTGGCAACGGCGCCGGCCTCAATCTCAGAGCCTCCAACATCAGCGCCACATTGAGCCTTGTGACCATTCTTCCAGTGCCAGGCCTGAGATATGACTGCGAAATGAGGTACAGCTGTGCAAAGTCGCTTTGGGCACCAAGCTGATTTCTACAAAATACACAGTCAAGACCATCAAATCGTCGCAAAGAAACTGGTCAACAGACCTGATGAGTGCGATGACAATAACGGGCTGCCTTGCACTTTGAGCACTGCTTGGCGCCCGCAGCACCACACACGGCGCATAGATGGGCTACGCGTCAAAGGATGACAAGGCAAGTGAGACACAAACAAAAGAAAAGAGAAGCCTGCGCAAGGGCCAAGCTCAGTGGTGGCACCGGTGCCACCAGCACAACAACAGCAGCAATGCCTTGAAACTGGAATCAATGTGGTGTGGTCACTGGCCTCACCGGTCGGGGCGACTTTGAAGGTTGCGTCCTTGCAATCCAGATCTGGGACGCACTCTGCGTACCACTGCCATATCCGCAAGCCGTGCATCAGAGGCAGCGCATACTTTTCAACGCACAGGCAAGGAGCACTGGGTGGAGAGCAGGTGCAGAAAGCCCGTGCCGCAGTACCTCGTTGTCAACAGGCAACAAGGCTCGCCACGCTTGATGTCTAAGAGGAGGTGCAGGATAAGAAGTTGGACCGGGATTGCAGGTCTGGGGGCCACACGCTTGCGGCAGCGCAGAGTACACCGCTGGCAAGTGTGTAAAGGCAAGCCTCATACCCGTGAGAAAAGCCAGACTTTTGGCAGTCCTCCGCCCGGCAAGTGAAGATGAAGAGCATGCGATGATATGTGCGTGAGTCAAGCACCACATTGCCTCGATAGAGCTGCGCGGCAACGAGTCATCGACAGAGACCGTGAGCGGGCTTTGATAACCCGTGGCCGAACAATATTGACACTTAAAACAACAGTCTGAGTTTTAAGTCAAGCTCCCAGCGAGGGTACTGCTTGCCAGTTGAGGCTCACCTGTAAAAGAAAAACCAGGGGCTCGCTGCAAGAGGCGCACGTGGGCGCGGGGATCGACTCGTAGGATAGCCAAGCCTATTCCAAAGTTCCCGGGCATCAACGGTGAGAAGAAGGAAGAACACCATACACGGCATGATGAATAAACCGGTTGTCCTGACGAGGCCTAGGCGGAGCAGGCGACTTTAGCCGTGCGTACCGGACGTCCCCCGACTTTGCTGGGAAAGAAGGGCGAAGTCAGGAGCTCTGGCTCGCATTGGTCCACAAAACCGAGTTTAACCCCCGTCAGCTCTGTCACCACAGAAGCCATGGTGACGGTCACCACCAGATGTAAACCACGCACAGCACGTCCCGTGGCCGAGCAGCGAGTTGGAAGACACCAAGACACCGAGAACCAGACACACGGTTCGGTGTGTGTGTGTGTGTGTGTGTGTGTGTGTGTGTGTGTGTGTGTGTGTGTGTGTGTGTGTGTGTGTGTGTGTGCCGCGTGTTCGTCCGCAGTTTGAGAAATAGCAAACCTCACTTTGTTCGTCTTCTGAAACTTCTGGTCTCGTTTTTTTTTTAGGAGAGGACGGAAACATAAGAGGCACAGGTGCAGGTGCAGGTGTCGCGACGAGTCTCCATTAGGGCGAACGCCATTGCCAGCACCAGCGGCAGTGCCACTGCCGTCACGGGTACCAGCCAATGTATGCGGACTGTGTCTAGTTGGTGCGTGACAGCGCCTTGGTATTGGTGTGCAGGCGATCCGATCCGTCCATGACTTGAATCGCAGCTGATTTCCGTTCAGCCATTCACCATATCACTTTGGAAACCCCTCCCCGCCCTCCCCCGTTTGGTGCGCGTATGTTGCTGGCGGGTTTGTGCGGCCACATCGATTGATGAGGCAGAGGCGAGTCGGTGCCACGGATCTCATAGGGCGGACGTTATCTCTGCAACAGCTACCATGTTTTCCATCGCTGACCTCATTTTGGCAATGTGCGAAGTGCCACGTTCACACTTCTGATGACACAGACACGCACACGCACACAGACACACACACACACACTGTCGCAGGCTCACGTGAAATGGTTATCGCCTTCGCAGAACCCTCTTCATCAATGCCGGGGCCGTTCTCAACTTCAAACTGTCCGTTCCTATTTGATTATGCTTTGGCGCACAGCACGGCAATGCACTTGTGGGTGCGACAACTGCTCAAAGCGCATTCTTCATCATCGATTCCGTTTGGTCACCATAGGGCAAAACCCGAGGCCACATTCGAAGACGTCGAGCCTTCCATGGGTGTGTGTGAGCGTGTTGACGTGCTTGAGTTCCCCAAACATCAACACCTCCAAGCAAAGGGTTGCCAGTGCGCCCCATAGTGCTCATGTTGTTGGCAACCTGCTCTGGCGTTGGCTGGCTGCCTTCCGACGGTGCAGGTGATCGGATTCGTGGTGTCATCCTCAACCTTCGCTACTTTCGTATCTTCATCGCCATGTGGAACATTCTCATGATCATCTTCATGATCATGTACGAACCGCTGCACCGTGTGCAACATGTTCTCAGCTTGACCGTGTCCGGTGGCGGCGGCTATGCTTGGACTCATCAAACTATGCGCCTGTTTGTTAGATTTTTCGGGGCTTGAGCCAGCTTACACGAGTCACGCAACAGGGTGATTACGTGCGGAAGGAGTGAGCATGATTCTTTGCTTGAGCAAACTCCTCATTGAGTCTTGCACGTCGAGCACTCATCGTGTCAGACCCAAGCTTTGCTGTGCGCTGCGCGCTGCTCCTCTTCACTATGACTATCCCCGTGACCGCAACTGTTTGTGATGGCGTGCGCACGTATCCCGATCCTAAATTCAATTACATGCAGGACATTGTCCAAAGAAACAGATGTGGTTTGACGAGTTCTGTGGCTTTGGGCATGAACCAACATGTTCAGCTCATTGTGCAGCGTCATTCAAGGCGCATCGCACTAGATTCCGTGGCAAAGGCCTCCAGGAGTGGGGCGTAGTCGGCTTCCGTGTTGTACACGTGGGCTGACAGGCGGACACAGAGCTCCTGTCCTTGATTGATTCGTTTGACTGGAACCTCGATATTGCGGCGATACAAGCGTTCCTGCAGCTCTGGAGCATCATCTCCCGTCAACGGGCGTTTGGGATGCACCCAGCGAGGAAGCGGTACCAGTCGCATGTTGGCAGCTCTCAGCTCCGGGTCCAGTGGCTCGGTGGTCCCAAAGGTAGCCAAGCACTGCTGTACAACACGATCCAACAGCTGCGAGGTATAGGCTCGACACGCAGACAAATCCAGGTCCCGCCACAGCTGAATAGTATCGGCCAAAGTGAGCACGGCAGCATAGTCACGGCAGCCGTCCCATGAAAAGGCTTCCAAAAACCCACCACGGTAGCCGTGTGACACAATTAGTGGGCGCAAGTGGTCCTGCCAGGCTGGATCAACCCACATGACAGCGGCACTCTTGGCGCCACATAGCCACTTGTGAGTGTTGGTGACATAGGCTTTGATACCGCTTCTTTGCATGGACGCCATATCCAAAGGCTCTTGCCACAGGCCGTGGGCCCCATCAACCAGGACGTCGATGCCCTGGTCGCGGGCCCACCCTGCAAGCTCCTCAATGGGCAACCGTGCGGCGGTGTTGGATGTGATGTGGTCAAGAACCAGCGCCGTGGGTTGTCCGCCCTCGGCGAGGATGCGCTCCACGGAGTTCTGCAAGGCGGCCAGCACACCCCTAGTGGTCAGAGGCGCCGCCGAACTGAGCGGTAGATCACACTCCACCTGTTGTACACCATGGCGCTGGCAAGCAACGGCCAACATGGTTTTGACGGCCCCGTAGGCCAGGCTGGTGGACAGGATGACACTGTTGCTGCGAGAGGCCGCGGTGCGCACCACGTGCTCAATCGCAGCATTCAGCCCGGTGGTGGCATTCGGAAGAAGAACAACGTCTTTGGGTTGCGCGTTGATGAATTTGGCCACCTCACGCCAGTTGCGGGCCTGGTGGGGCAGCAGCACGCGGTCAAAGAAGCGCAGAGGTTGTGCTTCCTGATACGTGCGCCAGCGTGAGGCTTGCTCGTGGATGGGCTTGAGAGTGGCACCAAAGGCACCGTGGTTGAGAAAGGCAAACTCAGGGTCCAGCATGAAGAGCCGACGCAGCGCCGGGGAGCCCGGTTGCAGTGGCTGGTCGCTGCTGGGTAGCGTCACAGCAGGCGGACACCCAGCCGTGGGCAGTGGCACGGGCCAGGCGTCAAGCTCGGTGCGGATCATGGCGTCGACATTGCCGCTGAAAAAGCTGCCGAAGCTCGCCCCCGGTGGTGGCAAAGACCCTGCCCCACTGGCTTGAGCGGTGCTCATTGCACGACCACGCGCAGCCGCGGCCACCGTCGCCACAACCACTTGCCTCGTCATTCTCCCTCTTCTGGTGAGCTGGCCAAGCAACGGATGCCGATGACGATGCGATCGGCGAGAGCTTTTTATCTGACAATCTGACAACATCACAACAACACAACACAAAATTAAATTTTTGATTTTTATTGAACGGGTGGTGCTTCTTCTTCATTTCCTGGGTGTGATGGTGGAAGCGACGATGAGGCGGATGTGTTGGCGCTGACCGACCGGTTGTACATTGTGTGGCCGTGGGCGGAGGCGCGTGAGTTCCTTTGCAGGTATTCGAGACAGCGGACTTGGGGATATTGGCTGGTACTTTTTTTTGCCAACATGGCCAACGTTACGGCCCAGGTGGTCGAGCAGCTCGCGTACCTTGAGCAGCGGTCCTGGCCCTCAGCTAATCTAGATGCGGCAGAAGCGGCGCGCGCGATTGCTGTAAGTTGCTTATGCAGATGAATGAGTGGTTGCTTGAAGCTCATCCACGATGCCCTTCACTATTTATGATTGCCACTTCCTTGCTTTGCTTGCCTCCCTTCAAAAAAGGAGGTAAAGTTGGTACAGAATCTCGTCCGACAACTTGAGAAGAGCGAGCAAACAAGGTCTGTGCGACAGGACTTTGGGGGCAGCTGCAAACGCCGCTCGTCAGCTCACAGGTGTTTGCATAGGCATGCCCCCCGAATTGCAGCCTTGGAGCAGCGTGCCCAAGCCCTGCGCACCGCCATGGAGCGTCTTGAATGGGACCAGGCAGAGCAGGCACAACTGCGCAAGCGCCGTGGCGACCGCATCGTGCTACCCGATCAGAGTCCGGTGCGCTCCCGTCTCTGCCCGATGACCAGTCTGTCACTGGGGCATGGCGCATAGCACGAGTGCCTCATCACATCTTTTGTCTAGGCTCTCAGCACAGCAGAGCAAGTAGACAGCCCAGCCTCTCCCGCCACTCCAGCTGCCCCAGACGAGCCGGTCGAAGAGTTGTTCCCCAAACAGGTGCCTACGCCTGTGCCCCGGCGCGCTCAAGTCGCCGTTTACAGTTTGGTTTGACTTGCCCTGTCATGCACGCACGCACATCCATACTCACTCAAATTGCGTGCATCCTGTTGCAGGCCGTCAAGCCTGAATCTTTCGAGCAGTTTCAGGTCGGTCTTTCTGAGCTTTCTGTGTTGCTGGGCTAGTCGCCTAGCTGGACCGCCTTGCCTTGAGAGCTTGTGGCCATGATCAAATTGTCTGATATGATGAATATCGTCTTGCTTGCCGGCCACCTCCCTTGCAGGATCGAGTGACTAGCAACATGCTTGAAATGGCGCGGGCCATGAAACTCAATGCAGCCTCAACGCATGAGCTTCTGAGCGCAGGAAATACGGTGGGTAGATTTTACTTCTTGCCTTGTCAGCCTGAGCCTCAGGCCATTCGGAATGCAGAGGTGACCTCCGTCGTCCTTTTTAACGACTGAACGACTCTGATTTTGCCTCGCTCTTGGCTGAGGCTATTAGGTCATTGAAGATGCCATCACTTCCGCGGATCAGTCCTCCATTAGCCTCAATGAGGCGCTCTCCATTCTTGCTACGCAGGTGCGCTTGGGGTAGGGTTTTGCGTTGGTGCACAAGAAGCATACGTGACTAACCATATGCGCCATTTCGTGTAGATGGAGTCAGCAGGTGGCATCTGGGCCTGGGTGCTCATGCTCATTTCCATCCTTGCGTTCATCGTGATGGTAGTTGTAATCAAGCTCACGTGAGCCGCCACTCGGCTTGTTTGAGACCTTGCATTCTCGTGCATTCTCCACTCCGTTCAATCCACAGCATGCGAATGTCAAAATTGGTTCAATTCGCAATGTTGTGGTTGGTGGCACAGCCGAGCCCGACCAGGAAAAAGATGGCTACCAGGTTTGGACAACCATCGAAAGCAGAGTCAAGAAACAGATGAACACAACACCCTAAGCCAATCCATGAAGGAACGGTCAGCCCACTAGTCGGCTAGCTAGCAAACTCAAGAAGCAGGAAGACACAAAAACACAATCAAACGAAACAAGCTCTCAGAGCCAAGCAAACTGGTTGGCCACCCACGCTCACACGATCATTACGGCCACATTTCTGGGGAACGAGTAAAAATGTGTCCGCACACATGTTATGCAATGACCGGGGTGCCTGGGATACTTGGCTTGACACCATTATTCGAGCCGGTGGGTGCTGCGATTGTTTGGGCCACATCACTTTCAGTCTTGAGAAGTGGCGCGGGCATGGGTTGACAATGTACGAGAACGTTACACCAAGTCGAGATCTGTTTCAGATCTTCCGCGAATCGATGCACCTTGCGCGATGGGCCTTGGACCTCGAGGCGAAGGCGCATGGAATTGCGCTGGGAGGAACCAAAGACAAACTCTTGGACCGAAAACTGCCAACTTGAATGAGCTTGCAAACCGCTGATGGTCGTAGCCAACATGCCCTGCAAACCACGGGGAATCGATGAGACAAGGCATTTGCCAGACCAGATTGATGCAAACACCTTCTGAGGTCTTTCTTCGACCTCAAAGAAGGACACGCACGCAACGCACCGTCTCCAATATCCGACCCTGGAGTTCTAGCAAGCTCAAGTCACTCGAATCAGGCTCATCTGATCCTCCGGTATCGTTGGTCGAAGAAGACTCGGAGCCGTCTGAGCTGGGCGTTGGCGAGCCGCGCGAATCAGTGTGGCTGTTGCTCTGTTCTTGCGAGGAGGAGCTGTCATCCTGACCCTGAGCACTGCCTTGCTCTGTACCCTCCATGCGCCTGGCACGTTTTGTAGCCAGCAGGTTGGCCACCAGACGTGGCGCCCGGCTTCCACTCGGCATCATTGCTGACGCCCGCTCACACGCATCTTGGATGGGGCTGAGCGACGCTCGCTTGCCAGCGTGACTCGCGCCATCGTCCTGCGTCGACGCGCCAGTCACCGTTGAGGCTGACTGACCAGCTGGCTGGCCTATGCTGGTGACTGGATCACAACGGGCATCGGACGACCCGCCAGCATTGGACGAGCCACCAGCATTGGACGAGCCACCAGCATTGGATCGATCCGTAATGGCCCCAGCGTCAATGCGGCTGGAACTTGTGTCTGAGCTGCCTGTCGTCGATGTATCCTTGCCAGAACCAGTCGCATTGCTCGACTCACTCTCCGAGCTGCTGTAGGCCGGCACGTCTGTGACCTTTCCCTCAAAGACTCGCACACTGCAGGAGCGCATAATTCGGCACAGGTCCTATGCAAGTTTTCATCAGTCATCGACATCGAGAAGCAGGTTGCTTGAATGAGACAAGACGCACGCAGCACGGCGCAGGGAAAGCGAAATGGTGCGGCAGGGACCCCCTTTCCTGCCACAAGCTGATGAGCAATACGTCTACTCACCTCGACCTTCATGCCGGCGGCGTTGACAAGTTCGTAAGTACCAGATATGACGCAAGCAAAGCGACTGCGGGTAGCTCCCGCGCTGCCAAAGACGCAGTCCACAACCTCGGCATCGACCACACCGGGTCCAGACAAGAGGCCATCCAGGACAATGACGGGCAGTGCTCGAGCAAGATTGAATTTGCCCGTGATTACCACCGTGGCGTGTGAGCTATGGTCCGTGGTGGTTGTCGTGTGACGGCGGGTCTTGGATCGCAAATCCAGCACCACACGCAGACGCCGGCGACTTTCGTCATTGCGGATACATTTTTTAATGTGCACCGCCATGGATTCCTGGTGTTGCTTGCGAAAGGTATCGTGATGCGTGTACAGCTGATAGCAGGCCTTGCAAATACGCGTCGACAGTCCAAAGTAGCGGAACTCAGCCTCGCGCACTTGACAGGCAGGACACTGCCAAAGCAAACAGCAAGATGGATCATAAGAACATCAGGCATGCAAATGAAAAGGGACAACGGTATAACGAGCCAGGCGGAGAGTATAGCGAGTTGAAAGGGAAAAGATGTGTGAGCATCATGCTCTTGAGGCAGCCTTTCGCGACTTTTCCACCCAACCAGAGCGCTCACGTACTCGATGGCGTTCACGATGTGTGCTGCGATCCGAAGTCTTTGTTGAATCGGTACTGTATTCGGATGGCGCGCCACGTCTCAACTGTCCATCCGACTTGACCGTACCAACGGGACTCGGATTGAAGTCGGACATGGTTTCAATCTTGGGGCGGTGGGTATCGTAGATGGTTGTGTTGATGGTGTCCGAGGCCATGGTGGCAGTAGCTTGAGTCTGTGGATAGTGTGGAAAGGGCGCTGACAAATTGTTCATGCCGGCCATGTTGTAGAACGCGTCGGGCCGATTTTGAGGCAGAGGGTGCAGGGCCATTGCGTCGGCTGGGCGCTGGCCATCAATGTTGTTGAGGGCATAGATGGCACAACACTGCCAGCAAAGGAAGATATCAGCAGGGCCAAGCTGCTTGTTCTGATCCAAGTCCCAACCCAGCCCTGTGGGGCCAGTTGGTGGGCGGGTCCAGGAAATTGACGTAGTCCGCTGACATTGGGGACCAGCACAAACGCGTCCTGTAGGATGCGGCTTTTCCGCCCGCTGTAGAACATCTGTCAAAATAAAGTCGCGTGCAAGGCAGCAAACAAGTGGTCAGCAATGGGCGTTTGGCGACGTCAGGCTGGAGGGTTAAGAGGGGCGGGCGTGTTGCAGCAGCTTCGGCCGTCAACGCACCACCTATAAAATTCTGGTTGGGGTTGCCAACAAGAGTTTGAATGTCCGACACGTTGATGGTGGGGTCGAACAAGTGCGCAGTGTGCTCCATGAGCAGGCCGCGGCTATTGGGATTGCCATGGACGTGCGCTTGAGGCAGTGCGGGCATGGACGCCATGGTGGCTTGCTGATTCAAAGCATAGGAAGGCAAGGTGGGTCCAGACGCGGGTTGCATGGGCATTGTGCGAGGGCCATTTGGGGCAGGCAATCCTTCGGTCGAGGGTCTCAAGTCACGAGGTGCCAGGGGCCCAAGGCCTAGGGCTCTGGGATCGACATCAGGCATCCCAGACAGGCCAGCAGCACCACCACCCAGCGCAAGATGTGGACGGGCTACCGATGACGGCCCCATGAAGACCGCCGAGGATGAGGCAGTTGGATGTGATGATGGGGGCTGTGCGGTTTTATTGGCTAGATGTGCTGGATTCGGCAAGCCAAAGTTGTCACCATTTGGCATGGCTGAGTTCATGGGCACAGCGTGTGTTGGGAAGGGCGAGTAAGGGCTGTGTACATCCAGCCCCGCCCGAGCGCGTGCGGCAAACGGGGTAGGCTCAAGCGATGTTGGCATGGCGGCCGTATTGCCTGCAAAGGTCACGCCGGGACCGGCAAGACCTGGAGGAAAGTTAGCACCAATGGCAGCTGGGTTGCCATTGGTCAGGTGGTGCTGCTGAGAGTTTTGCACATGACCAGAGCGATCTGCTCGAAAGGGGCGGCCTTGCAGTCCCGCCGGTGCAATGGGGGGCAAGGGTGGTAGGTCATCGGTACCGGCCAGCTCATTTGGATTGGTCATGCCTGGGAATGCACCATCCGACAGGCGGAATCGCGCGTCGAAAGGGTCGGCCATTGACGCGGCCTGAGGTTTCACGGTCACAACACCTGGAGGGCCACCCTTGCGTAGGTTAATCAAGCAGGGGCTTGAGGGTGATGGGTCACACGAGCTCCGGACAGCCTTAGCGGCACCGGGGGGCCTGAGAGCGCTCAGGGCGCGCAGAGATGCCGCGAGTCGGCATTGGGGCTGCCCAACCAAAGCACATACGCCAGCGACCGTGCAACTGGGGAAGACGCTGGGTTTGTTGAAAGGGGGTGGAGGAAAGCAGGGGTGGGGGCGGCAGTGGCGGCAGTGGCGAGTATTTGCGTGATCTGCGCGGGGAAGCGGCGAGCGGCATGTGAGCACAGTGGCGGTGCGACAGGGCAGCGGGGGGGGGGGGAGGCTCGGCAGCCACAACGATGAATTCTCGGGGTCCAGCCAGAACATACAAGGTCGATGTCACGTCAGGAAAAATAGCCAAGCTTCAGGAGGCAGGTGGGTCGCAGCGGCGAGATGTGTGGTGCTGACACTGTGGACGGGATGAAACCGAATACAAGGCTACACGAATGAGGGAGACCCTTGATGATTGCCAACCAGGAACACGGCGAGATGTTCGAGAAGCCCTGTCGAATGCGGATGGTGTATGGTGTGTAAGCAGTAACGAGTGGAGCATCCATGTGAGGGCCGGGGCAGAAGCGTGGCCGAATCGGGTGCGATGAAATGCGTCCACACAGCAACGTGATGGGGGGAGCAACGTTGAGGTTTCAGGTGTGCAAGGGTGGTTTGATGAACGGCTTTGGTGTTGCCGCTTGCCCGAGCTGTGCCAACGGGCCTGGGGTCGATGACCGAACGTCTGGAACCATCCATTCCATGATCGTTGAGGGTTTATCATGGGTACCATGATGGGTTGCGGCTGAAAAAAAAAAGGATGGTCACAAGAGGACGAGTCGTGAAGCCACGATCTACAAGCTACGAGCTTAACACTTCAACATGAAGTTCATGAACCTTCACGTCGAGTTCGTGACAGGTCACGTCATACCAATGACAGTCATGAAGCTTTTATGCCATAATCCCTTGATAGTTTGGGCTTTAGAACATTCATGAAGAGGTATGAGCATCCGCTTCGCCTCGAAGCGTGCTACCAGCTACACTTTCATCATGATGGCGAGTGACTCGCTGTGTTACCTTGGGGCGGACAATTGGTCACTGTCATCACACACCCAATCACACCCACACCGATGGTTGTGCTTGGTGGGCGGCTCTTTGAGCGCCGTCGCAAAAAAGTAAAACCACAAAAACGGAACGACTCTGCACAAGCCCAAGTTTTTGACCCGTGTTTGAAGGAGCGGTTTGATGGCACCTGATGACGATGAAGAGATTTAAAATTTGGATTTTGAGGTTGACAGTTACTGCAACAGTTCAGAGGCCGGCGCATGCAACGCAGGGTCCCACTGACTGAAAACCCCCGTTACGCGGTTGTTTTGAGCAGGCTGGATACGCGCTTGGCGGTCGCCTTGATGTCCGGGTTGTCATTCTGTGTGGACACGCCGGAATTTTGAGCGCTAGGGGTATACCGGTGCAGGTGCATATCCTGGGGGTTTGCAGCATTATCTCGACCGGCTTACCAAAAAGCTTTGGCGCTGATGAGCCACGCGCTTAAAGCGGTTCCACCTAGCAAGCGAACAAATGGCGAATACAGCCGCCATCATCGTTGTCCCGCAAGGGCACGGCGCGATTGGGAGCAAAAAGCAAGGATTCGGTCTGAGCGTGTGCTGCAGTTGTCAAGCTCCTGACCAAAAGCACGCACGCACGCACGCACATACAGCAGGCGTTCGACCAAATGGATGCAACGTACAGTTCACTGGTTTGATCCTTCTCGCCGGCATCCAAGAGCATAATAATGTAGTTCAGTAATGTAATCGGGTCCTCCCTGTGTACCAAAAACAAAAGGGCTTGTGAAAAAGCCATCAACGATAGCCGGGTTGATCCAAGCTCATGTCAACGTGGAACCGGCATAGCGACCGAGCGAATCAACACAACTGACGGCGCAAGCTGGAGCGATTTTTCAAAAGCAGCAATGGCATTGATGTAGTCGCCGAGCTTGTGCAGGGTGACGGCCAGAAGACCAAAGGAAGGTCCAAAATCCGATTTGAGATTGACCGCGCTGGTGAAAAAGTGAAATGCGCTGGCCAGTTGGCCCACCGTCAAGTGCACCAGACCCAGATTGAAGGCCACCATCCACTCGAACGGAGCCAAATATGCTGCGTGCTTCAAACACGCCACGGCCTAGCGCCATGAACATACAAACAATTCGAACCATGATGCAGACGGGAAAGCTTGGCATTCAAGCGCTCATGCAAGAGGACCTGCCGTCACGCTGCTCCCGTCAAGCCACGCTGATACGAACCGCAATATACTTTTTGTTTCCAAAAAAGCACATGCCCACGTTGTTCCAGAGTTCGGCGCTCTCTGGGGTTTGTGCTACAAGATGACGCACGCCCACATTAATAAGACTCAGTTTGCAAGGGAGTAAAAAAAAAGAAGAAGAAGCAAATAACGGCTTTGTGCGGCGCTGCGAGCGTGCTCTTCTGTAAATTTGGTGGCACGCTGACCCACAATTGGTCCAATCTTACCAGCAGCGACGCGATACTTAACCAAAGCCACATCATAATCATCTTGATCTTGGATGATGGAACCGGCCGCCAGAATCGCCTGCAGTCAAGCACAGCAAGTCATGTGCCCTTTCACCAACCACAGCTCGCCTGCGCATGCTAGACGTGCTGATGTCGGTGTGGCGCTCCCCACTCGACAATACCGTTGACCGACCGAACCGGTCCTCATGCCGCAGCACCTACCTTGGTATCTCGCGGGTCGTAGGAGAGGGCAGTGCCAAAGAGCTCAAAGGCTCGTCCCCCTTCTCCCAATCGCAGGTGCAGCAAGCCCAGCTCGATCATGATGGTCGTGTTCTCCTGGGCCACACTATCAGACACGAGGCATGGATAAGTCCAATGCCATTGAAGCCACGCAGAAGCGTCCAATGATGCGGGGCCACGAGGCAAACCTCTGTGCTTGTGTCAGTGCCACAACGGCACCCTTCAGGTCATTCCTTGCCACTCGAATTTGAGCCAAGAGGCTGAGAGTCGTCACGTTAGGCATGGTTTCTACAGCTCGCACGCAAAGCTGCTCTGCATCTACCAACAGGTCCATTCGGAGGAAACATGCTGCCTTGTCGCGGTGGACACGCTACAGATGAAGCCAGGTGAGTTTGGGTGAACCAACACAACACCAACAAAAGGATTGCAACCTCATGCCCATAGCAGTGAAACTCACCCAAAGCTCACTGGGGTCGATGAGCTGCTCAAGTTTGCTGTACACACCAATGGCGGACTTGTAGCGACCCAAGAGATACCTGAGCGGACAGTCCAAACACCGGGCGGCACAGTCAGGTAGGATGCTCAAGCTTCAGGCCGAACGTCCAGCCGAGAGGGGTTTGACGCACATGTTGCGCGCAACCTGCAACGCCGCTTGGGCGTTGGTGCCGTCCTGGGCCAAGACTTGTTGCAGGGTTTCGAGTGAAGTTGTGACATCGCCCTGCATGCGCTGCACCATGCCTGAAGGTCGAGGTGAGGGTGGTGAAGAAGGGAGGGGCAGACTCAGCCCGACCATGCTGGGCAGGGTGTAGCAGATAGGTTAGATAGGTTCATCCAGCACGAGCCCGAGAGACCTAGTCTCACCCTTGATGTAAAGCAAATACGAATTTTGCCCATGGGCGCGGGCTAACCCGCGCTCGCACAAGTGCTACACCCCATCCCGCACAAAAAATAAAATAAAAAAAGCAGAAGATCATTGGTCAGCACAAAGACTGGCCAACGCACATCCTTGCATGTATTCGATTTCAACCCAGAGCACTCTGCGATGAGCATCCAGAGACGGGATCAGTACGCAAGTCACCCACCATGCATTCGTCGAACCGCTCCTGGGTATAGAGCTTGAATGCCAACCAGTTTTGGCGCTCAAAGTTGGGAATGACCGTCACTGCATCGTGCCCATGCATGGCAACGCGAAGCATTATCACTTGTCAGCAACGACCTGTTTCAAAGGTGATTCCATGAAGCATTTGATTTGCACTACCACGTACTGCTTTTTCGGGCGGTTCGCCGGCGCCGAACTGGAGCGGCAGGCTGTTGAGCCTCGCCCGCATCTGGCTTTTCAGCCTCGTCAGCCATGCCTCTGTTTTTTCACAGATTTCTCTTTACCCAGAATTCAAAAACAGCAAGACAACCAAGTCAGATGAAACAAAAAAATCGTTTTTTCACTCTCTTTGTTGTGTTTTTTTTTGGTTTGCAAAGCTTATCATCATGGTGGTGATCAGGTCCTTGTCGATATATTATTGAGATGGCGACGAATCAATTAAAATGCAAAACACATCCGAGACACTTCCAAAGCAGAGAAAACGTACAGGTACAGGGTCAAGTACCACGCGGCCAAGGTCGTGAACAAAGGCGTACTACCGCCCTGCTCAAGCGGTGGGCATGAAAAGGAAGGACGGGTGTGAAACGGGCTCGGCGAAAGCCTCACGCCTGATTGAGAGACTTCGGAACTGCCAAAGAAAAAAAAAAAAAAAGAAGAAGAAGAAGAAGAAGGATGGGGTGGGAAGAACCAAAAGCGACTGCAAGACAAAGAGAAACAAAGGGGGCGGGATTCAGAAGGAAGATTGTTCCCAAACGGAAGCGTTGAGTAAATCGATGATGCTCAGTCGGCCTAACAAAACTGCACAAATGCCTAAATAGTACGCCAGAGGGTAATGCGGGTGTGGACAAGCCCGGCGCCCCATGCATCAAGATGATTGAGTGCGGCCACCGGGTCGTGTGTAGCGCTCACCCCATCAGAGGGAGAAAAAGACGACGGCGAATTTCAGCATCGGGCAAATGTGGCTGGCCCTGCTCGTCAAAGTTCATAAACACCTTGAAGCAGTGTTGTAGGAAGCACGTCACCAAGTCGCGAGGCATGGTGCGGGAAAGGGGGTATTTTGAGAGGGCAAAAAGGATAATGACGAAGGGACGGCGGATCAAATCCTTGCAGCACCAGCGATGCATTTGCGGCGACCATTGACGGTGGAGGACGCAATCGGCGAGACCAAACATGTAGCGATCCTTGAACTTGTTGGTCAGAGGGATGTGAATATCGTAGGCATTCTGCAGCTTGTCCAAGGCCCGACGACAAATGTCCATCATTTCGTTGTGACCAGTGGCCTCCTCGTCCATGACACAGTCCTCAAAGCGCAGGCGCTTGAGGCGACAGGGACCCTCGTGATCAGCAATGGCTGTCATGATGGAGCAAAACGTGGCGTCCCAAACCTTTTGGCTCGAGGTTTCAAAGTCAAAGCGGCACTCAAAGACAATAGACTCGACTTTGTCCAGAATGAGGGACCAAGATTCGCGGAGAGGTCGGTCAGCAAGATCTTCAAGTGGCTCCTTGCTGCCCTTGCGGCGAAAGTAGAGGTTCTCGCAAGCAAAGGGGCCGGGAGCCTGGGCAAGCTGCGCAATGATGGCGTTGCCGTTGAGTTTGCGCACTGTCGTCAGGTCAATGACAAGCACGCTGGCGGGCACGGCGGCAAAAGGCTTGACGGCTGCAGGAATGCCGTTGACGCCATAAAAGCCAAGAGTTTGGCCGCGAGCCTCACGGTGCATGTGTTTCATAACATCTCGATGCAGCTGAAAGCTATCGTCCGTGGGCAGGGGGCTTATAGACAACAGGGAGAGTTGGCCACGGGGCACCTGGGAAACTAGAACTGTCTGAACCTGTGTCCAGAGGCCATGCAAACTCAGCTCACGCAAGGCACGATAACGGGAGATGTAGCGAATCAGGCATGTGCCGACGGTTTGGGCATTGGGGACGGCAAAGATGTTGCGCGAGTTGGTCAGAATAACCAGCTTCTCAATGGAAGTTTCGAGGCCCGGGGTGGAGAGGAAATGGTCCCAGAATGTGAGCTGCAGGGGGCCGGCATCAACGGTAACGTAGACTTTGAGTGTGCGTAGCATGCTGGTGAGGCCCCGTAGTTGATTGAGGGTGGCAAAGCCCCGGCCCGTGCGGGCAAAGTCGGTCAAGGCCGGGCGCTCATCTGACTCTGTAAACTTGAGGTCGAAGCTCTCAATCTCCCGGACCGTAATCTGGCCCTCAAAGGAGATGGCGGCGATAAAGGCCTGGCAAAAGCGCTCGATTTGGTTCCAGGGGACTGATACAGAGGTCAACCAGAGATACTCTACCCGGCTTTCGGAAAAGTCTAGCATCTCTTCCCAAGCCTCTTCGCTGATTTTGAGGGTTCGGATGTTGCGAATAGCCTCGATGCGCTTGGGCAAGGGAAAGGTGGATTTCCAGTTCAAAACGGCATCCTTGTTCCGCAGCACAAGCGTGTCAGGCCGTGGTAGGATGACGTTCTCCGCCAGTTCCATCGCCATTGTGACAGATTGCGGGTGCAACGGCTGGAAGGCGGGCAGCGAGTGCTTGACAGCGACCAAGACTGGGAGTCCGCGCAGAAATGCTGCTTGTCGCCCCACGTGCACGTGGCTCTTAACTTGGCCAGACGACAAGAGTAGAGCAGGCCGGGGCAGACGACAGCCTCAAATAGGGCTCTTGCCGCGAGCGGTAAGGGTCTCGCCTGCTGTTACTTTTCGATGCGCCAAAACGCCCACACACGGCGCTTGTGTTGACGAGGACACCAATTGGGAGGCCCAGCGGCGCAGGGTGTGCGGTCTGAAGCAGACAAGGAACACGCAGATGCTCAAGCCGGAGCGTCCACCCCGATGCGAACAACGTCGACGCGAGCAGTCGTTATGAGGAGCAAAACTTGGCCAGGGATCTCAAAAGAATTAAAAAAAAAAAAAAGCCGATGAGAAAGGCAGGTGGGCGGCTAGAATGCAGTCCCACTGATTAAGACTGGTGTCCCAACGCGAGCCAAGGCCGGACGCAAGGCCACGCGCGTCACCACCGCAATCACGAAACAGACCAACAGGAAGGACCCCTCGAATCAGAGCCCAAAACCTGTCAGTGCGCGTCGTCGTCGTCGTCGTCGTCGTGAGTGAGTGTGAGTGAGTGAGTGTCAGTACATGCGCCAAAGCGAAAGAGAGAGAGAGAGAGAGAGAGAGAGAGAGAGAGAGAGAGAGAGAGAGAGAGAGAGAGAGAGAGAGAGAGAGAGAGAGAGAGAGAGAGAGCAACCGCCACATTTACACCGTTGGTAGCGGTAGCTGTTTGAATCATGTTTGTCGCGCTTGTCATGCTTGTCAAGGCGTTGTACATGTAAGACGTTTTCTTCTTCTTGTGCTTGCCCTTTTCCCCAAAGGTTTCTATTACTTTTGACCCAAAAACCAGACCCCTTTAATACGCAGAAACCCAAAAGGTTCAGATCAGCTATATTTAGGGCCTACAGACAAAGCCCCAGTTTGGCTGACAACTCCTCGTATGTGTGTGTGTGTGTGTGTGTGTCGTGTGTTGCACATTCAAAAACGCTTTGTCGGTATCGATGCACCCGCCCCTTCCATGGCGCGCTCTCGTTCCGTCGCTCCATCTCGCTCCATCTCGCTGCTGTTCTCGCTCTCTCGCCTCTCCTCGGCCTTGTGCTGGCTTCTTCCCTGCGGTTGCGGGCTCAACCCCTTCTCCCTCTGGTGTTGCCATCGAAAGACTGTTTGAGGACTGGCTGCGAGGCCAGCGTTGGTGCTTGTATCGCAACAAAGAGTGGCAGCTTGCTCGATCTCACCCGCTGATGCTCCGTGCGCGACAGCGACCACTCTTGTGACCAGCCAACATGGATGACGACAAGTACCCCAACCGGCCGCGCAGTACGTACCAATCGACTCATCTGCCGCGCGCCTTGAGGCGTTCGCCAAGGCCGTGATCCCCCTGCCCTGTTTTCCGCAACTTGATCTCTTTGAAACCTCCTCTCCTGTTCAGCGTGACTCTCTCATCCTACCCCTCCTGTTCCCCCCAACCTCAACACGCTCTGCCTTCTGTAAACTCTAGACACCAAGTTCAAACAGCAAAAGCTGCCAGCTTGGAAGCCCGTGCTCACACCAAAGACTGTGCTTCCTAATGTCCTGATCATCGGCATCATCTTCATCGCCGTGGGCGCGGCACTTCTAGCTGGATCCAACTCGGTAGATATCACTCTTCATCGACCACCTGTGCAGCCGATACCTCTGTTGTGACATGGTCAGCCTTTGATACAATGTTGCTTGTCGCTGAATATGCAGGTCAAGGAGCAGGTCTGGGACTACACCGAATGTGTCTCGACAAGTACGCCGCCCCTTGTTGTCATCTCACAGGTGGCACTGTGTCTTGGTCTCACCCGCTTTTGGGCCCGACCGTACCTCTCTCCACAGATGATAGCACTAAATCTTGCGCCGACATCATTGCTGGCCAACGTCGTATGTGACAGGGCATGGCTCCGCTCTCTCCACATCAGCATAATCACACGTGCACATACATACATACACCGCAGACACCGCCACGACCCAAGCCGCTCGGCGCTTGAGTCCTTTGAATACGACGACAAACTTGAACCGTCAGTGAGGGCAGACGCCTCTCACCTGAGCTGCACATGACCTCTTTTGCCTGATTAGCTGACCTCAATGGGTCCGAATACTTGCGCTGCACCTGCACCGTCAACGTTGAGCTGACCGAAGGCTTTGGCACTGACGAAACCTTCATTTACTATGGTCTTGAGGAATTTTATCAGGTATGTCTTGCCCATCCCGATCCCCAGCACTTGCCCTTTGATGGCACATTCCACCTTGCCTCGCAAACACGGTGCAATGCACCATTCCTTTCTTCCGCGCCCAAATGTCCTACCGTCCTACCGTCCGCCTGCCTCTGCGAAAGCTTTGCCTTACTACAGCTTTGACTCGTGGCGCATCACCCGCTTTCCAGAACCACCGTGCCTATGTGCGCTCGCGCTGGGACGCTCAGTTGCGCTCTGTGACGGCCCAGGGCGCGTCTGATTGCGACCCCTTGAACACAGCCCCCAACGGCAACTACTATGCCCCTTGCGGTCTCGTCGCCAACAGCCTTTTCAACGGTTCGTTTCTGTGCATGTCACACAGCATGATGGGCAGAAAACAATCGGATGACTTCTTCTACTGCCTATTCCTGCTCATTGGGAACAACGTGGCCCGGCGCCGCTGACTGTGACAGACACTTTCATCTTCTACAAATGTGACGACGACGCTTGCACCTCGCGAAGCCGCGTCGATGCCACCGGTGAACGCATCTCTTGGCGTTCAGATCGTGAGACCAAGTTTCAAAACCCCCCGCACGCGGACGGCGACCTGTGTGGTTCAGAGGCCTTTGATCCCACCCGCTCCGAGAAGTTGCCCAACTGGCCCGTTCCCGCCTGTCAGCTTGGCAGCAGTATGGCCGATGCGGCCACCTATTTTGCGCAAAGCACAGAGTTCAACAGCTCGGGCCTTGGATACGAAAACGAAGATCTGATCGTCTGGATGCGCACTGCCGGTGAGACACTGGCACGAGCTGCGCCCGTTCCTCTCTCGGCAAATTGTGTTGAGAGGCCTCTCATGAAATGCCGCCGCCAAACGCGGTGCACCATTTTGTTTGGTTTGTTGAACAGCGTTGCCTGACTTCCGCAAGCTCTACCGCCGCGTCGTTAACACTGATTTGCAAGACGGTCAATATCAGATTGACATTGACTACAATTTTCCTGTTCGCAATTTTGAGGGCAAGAAGAAAGTGATTCTCTCCACCATCTCTTGGAGTGGTCCGTCAAGCCTCCCCTCTCGCTCGCCGCAGCCCCGTTGCCAATGACCCTTCCCGCACCCCCGCCTCTCAGCTCATGGACACGCGCCTCTTCTTCATTTTCCCTCAGGTGGTGAAAACCCCTTCTTAGGCATTTGCTACCTCGTTGTCGGCTGCCTCTGTGTGGCTGCCGTGGTTGTTTTCGCCATCTTGGTCAAGCTGAAGAAGCGGTAAGAAAGATGGTCTCTTGTACAGCTGTTTTTCTTTCGATTAGCAACGGCGATGTGACTAGAGCCTTGCGAGAAAAGCAGGATGGCAACACATGCCAAGCGCACAGCGCTCCATTACAGTGGCTGGTCCGTTCAACTCACGCAACTTTCGTGCCTTTGGGACTGCTGATCTCGCTAGGGAACTGGGTGATGCGGACGTCCGCTGGTCACGCAACTCGTAGGGCCTTAAGCTTCAAGGTGGCTGTTTTCTTGATAAACTTGGCGCTGCCTAGCTCGGTTTGGATGAGGAAGGGTGTGGTGTATTTTAATCGATACGTGTCCAATACTTCGACCTGAATGCTGTCACTGGAGAGAGTCAGATCAATCTCGGCTACCGACGTGACCCCTGGTAGATGCACGCGCAGCGTCACAACCCCAGCATTGTCGTCCACACTAGCATCGTGCGCCGGCTCTGTCAAGCTCGCGGGTGCCGAAAGGTCCACAATGGCCGGCTTGGTCTTGGGCCTCGCTGCTTGGGCCGGAGATGTACCCACGCCGAGCCCGGAGGTGGACGGTACTTGCGATGGAAGCCGTACCGCGCTGGTATCATCGGCCTTTCCCGACTTCTCAGCCTCTGCTTCCCGCGATAAGGCTTCCAATAGCTGCTGTGGGTCTTTGATGTCCGGTGGTTGTGCAGAAGCTGCCTGCTGTTCTTGAGCGAGGCGGGACAGCTTCTCCATCTCCGAAGCATGGCGGTCGGCCTCTGAGAGGCGTTGATAGGGCTTTACCCAGGACCACGTAGCTTGGGGGGTGATTGACGTGGTACTACCAAAGCGACTCACAGCAGCCTTGAGCAAGAGCCGCTCTAATAGCTGGTCAGACGAGCCTTTTTCTGCCACCAAGCTATCCAGTAGCTCGGGATTGACTAAAACCTCAAGCAACGGGTTGTTCTCTGGCCCATCCGTGTCAAAGGCTACAAAACGCATGGGCAGCGGTGCCTCTGGGCTTTCAGGCTTGGGAACATCCTTCCCCTCACATACACAGACATGTACGGGTGGCTGATTCAAAGCAAAGCAAGAACGAGAGAATATGTCGCCAGACGTCAGCTCATGCCCGGGAGCGAGCCTTGGCGCTGGTCAGGTGACATCAAAGCGCGAAGCTGGAGCATAGGAAAGATGAGTTACAAACCTCGCAATGGATGTGGAGTGTCAATCGGCAGGGCGGAGGCTTGAGTTCAGCAAGCAAGCGTTCTTTCTCCTTCTTTTGCTTCTCCACAAAAGCGCGGTAGGCTACCAGGCCGCGACGCAGGCAATACGAGTGAGGATGATGGCTCGGCACTGCTTGTCATCAAAGAAAGCAAAAGGCCTTGTGCCACCTGCGTCCTGGTCCCTACCGGCAGGGTCGGTGGCGGAAAGGTGGTCGAGGTAAGCCCAAAGCTTTTCAGCTTTGTCCTTGAGCTGCCCATCCTGCTGTAAGTTGAAGGCCTGCGCGGCATCACGAAAACTCGCCATGCTGAACTTGCTCAGACGCCCTTTCGGGGCGATCAAGAGAGAGAAAAGAAGCAAAGCAAGAGAGAGAAAGAAAGAGAGGAGAGCGTATGTGTGCTGACAATGAGACACATAACGGAGTTACCAACTGTTATCTCTCCTTCGCAACGAGTCAAAAGGATCAGAAACGAGCGTGTGAAAAAGGGCAGTCAGGCACGGGTCAAGCACGGGTGAACGTGGCCGCCATAAGCGAGGAGAAGAGCTTGCAGGTGCTGCAGGTGGCTAAGGAAAGAGTAGAGTTTGGGAAGTAGAAGGATCAAACTGGGGTTTCGAGCACCAACTTGCCCCGAGACGTGCTCCACTCGACCCGCGCACCGCTCAGGATGGCGTCTACTCGCGAAGAAGAGGTCGCGCAAGTCGCAGCACAGTTGGTGCAGTCCATTCTGACCGATCTCACAGCCAAAATGAGTTCACACGAGGCACCTGCAGCTGCCACGGACCCCGCTGCAACTACCCAAGTTAGGCCCAAGACCGCCGAAGTCCGTGCGCTTTCTGCCGAAATGGTCGGTGAGGCGCTTGCCTCAGCCATTGAGCAACTTCCAATTCTGCCGATGGAAGATACTTCCAACATGACCCAAGAGCAGATTGTGGACGCCATTGTCCAGGTATGAAGCTCTTGCTCATGTGCTCATCGTACCCTTCGTGGCGGGCTTGCGTGTCATCCTAGCCATGGATCAGCGCCATGGATCGCCCAGCCCCCTGCTCCCCTCCCCATCCTGCCGAGTCTGAAGCGGCTGTATTGCTGGGATTGCCCTGTGCTTTTGCCCAAATGACGGTTAGACGTGGGACATCTCTGAGCAATGGCGGTATCACATCGACAAGGCCGTTGGCGACCAGTGCACGGTGCTGTTCAGCATCCCCACGCGTCGTCGCCCAGTGCCCAATGCTACCGTCGAGATTGTATTCAACGTGACCAGTGTGGTGCGATTTGACATGAACGACCGCTCAATTGTGGCTGCTACAGGCAGCGCATGAAATTGCCCGTGCATACTCCACCAGTGTTCGAACCGCGTTTTGCAGGTTGCTGTTCCCTCACGTCCCGTCTCAAATTGTTGCCAACATCTAGGACGGTCGTTGGCGAGTAATCTGGCGCATTGATGACCAAAAACTTGAGCACACGTAGGTCGCTCCCACCCTTGCCGATACGGCCCCGACAAATTTTGTGCACCTGACGCGCGTGATTGTTGTGATTGCAGAGAGCGAACTGTGTGCCGTGAAGAATGGCTACGAAAATCGCTTGCGCACAAGCGTGCCATGCAAGACGCTATATCTTCAATTCTTGACCCTGAGGAGGAAGTAGATGCCAAGGCAGCCGATCCCCCGAGCAACTGAAATTGAGGCGCTGGTCGCCCCCTTCCTTTCAATTAAGCGATACCGCTCAAAGGCGTTTCTCACAAATTCGGGTCCATCGTTTTGATCTGACAATCTGACAATCTGACAAGGGATGAATCAGTGGGGTTTTGTCGAGGGGGCGTTGACCTGTGCGAATACCACTTCGCCACCCCAGCTTGAGACCATTGACAAACCCCCTCTTTTGTCATGTGAATGACGTGCGTGCGGCGCGGAGAGCAGGCCGATCAACCGCGGCGAAAGGTCCAGCCAGACCTCAAACCCGAGCCAAGACAATTCACAGCAGGCTCTTCTCTTGCCCCGCGCAACACAAAGCCACTTCCTGTGAGCACACGAAAGGTAGACGACAATCAACAAAGTGTCAGAACCAAACCATTACAGGAGTGCATTACGACGACTCTCCGTTCCCACCGTTATAAAAGCCCACACACAAAGCCACACAACAGCACACACAAAAGCAAGCAGAGAAAGGTACACAAGAGAAAAAAAGACACACCAAAGACCACGCAGACCCAAGAATGTCATTGCTTTTTCCACCCCCTCCTCCTCCTTTCGCCTACACACACACACACACACACACGCACACATGTGTGTGTGTTCTGTATAACGACCACACACGAAGACAAAAAGTCAAGGCCAATGTCGTTAAGACCATCACACCTGTCGTCATCTCAACAGTCATCCTTTTCGACGCCCCTGGTTGCCTCATTCTCATTCTCATTCCTCGCGCCCCCCCCCGCGCTCCCCGTCGGACAGCCTCAAGACACCCCCTCCCACGGTTGAGGGGGCAGCTCAACATCTCCCTTGAGAACCATAAAGCACACTTTCACAGAGAAACTGTATATGTGGGGCAGCAAGCGCCTGGAAATAAGCTGAAGCGCGGGAACGGTAACAGGTAAGCGAGCCTACTGCTTCGTCCCACGTCGTTGACAGACCAACTCGAGATGCCCGGTCTGGCTGCCGCAAGCGGCTCGCCCAAACGAGCTGAGCGCAGAAGCTTGATGGATCGCTATCAGCCGATGATAATATGCATATGATACTGTATCGCCGGCGCTCGTGCGCCCCCGTCAGCTTCACTCATGAACGTCCGTCCCCTGAAACCGACCAGCTGAGTCCGAGGTGTTGTTTCAACCGAGATTGAAGCGGAACGCCGCTCTATAATCTTTTAAAGCACTACCAGGCCCATCATCGAAGGAATTGGCAAAACAACAGCATCATGCCAAGGCCTGGCACAAGGTAAGACATCATGCTTTTGAGAACTGAGCAAAGTGGCAAGTCGTGACTGCCAGACTGACAAAACTGTGCACAGGCGGCTGGCATGCATGCTTCTGCTTCTGGCCCTGCAAGCGACCACAGGCTGGGCTCAAGGTGAGACGAAAGACTACAGAGCGATAAGGCATCTGTAATTGTGAACACATGAGGATGAAAAACTCAGGATTGATGTTACACTAGATCTATCACTACTATCGACACACGTCAGCACGCAGGAGGCTGCTCTCGAGAGTGCAGACCAAAGTCTTTTGACTGAGATAAATGAGCAAGTCACAGGCTTAGCTTCAAAAGATGAAAGCTTCGAAGCCCGTATTGGAACGGAAGAGGCAGCCAGAACAGCTGGTGATGACAGCTTAGAGGCGCGTGTGGCGACCGAGGAGACGGCTCGTGCGAGCGCCGATACCAGCTTGGACACGGAGATGAAGGCGCAGGATGCCAGCTTGGCGACGCGTCTGTCGGCCGAGGAGTCTAACAGCCTGAGCACGGACGTGAGCCTGGAGGCGCGTGTGGCGACCGAGGAGACGGCTCGTGCGAGCGCCGATACCAGCTTGGACACGGAGATGAAGGCGCAGGATGCCAGCTTGGCGACGCGTCTGTCGGCCGAGGAGTCTAACAGCCTGAGCACGGACGTGAGCCTGGAGGCGCGTGTGGCGACCGAGGAGACGGCTCGTGCGAGCGTCGATACCAGCTTGGACACGGAGATGAAGGCGCAGGATGCCAGCTTGGCGACGCGTCTGTCGGCCGAGGAGTCTAACAGCCTGAGCACGGACGTGAGCCTGGAGGCGCGTGTGGCGACCGAGGAGACGGCTCGTGCGAGCGCCGATACCAGCTTGGACACGGAGATGAAGGCGCAGGATGCCAGCTTGGCGACGCGTCTGTCGGCCGAGGAGTCTAACAGCCTGAGCACGGACGTGAGCCTGGAGGCGCGTGTGGCGACCGAGGAGACGGCTCGTGCGAGCGTCGATACCAGCTTGGACACGGAGATGAAGGCGCAGGATGCCAGCTTGGCGACGCGTCTGTCGGCCGAGGAGTCTAACAGCCTGAGCACGGACGTGAGCCTGGAGGCGCGTGTGGCGACCGACGAGACGGCTCGTGCGAGCGCCGATACCAGCTGGACACGGAGATGAA